GTGCTCACAAAATCAGCACCACTCGATATGAAACAATGGCGTTTACGAAGAACGATTTTGAATTGAAAAATTGCTATGGCTTATCGGTCAGCCAATTCGAAAAGAAACACAGGCAAAGCTTTTTCGGCAACCTAAGAGTAATGTTAGAAGAGGTCATGAGTAAGTAGAGGGTACATCATTGATTGATTTCTCCCAAGGGAAATAAAGTTAGAGCTAGTTGTCGGTTTGGTCAATTTTTGTCGGCTGGACCTCCCATTTCGCAGGCCTAAAATTTGAAAACCCTGGAACAGAGGTGGAAGAGGAACATAGCATCTTGTAGAGCAGACAATTCTCTTTCGAATGGTATATGAACGATGTAAAAGCATGGGGATTTAGATGAAAATTTTTTGGTTGAAAAAAAGCGACACTATTTATGAGACAACCTAATAGAATGGATTCTTCTCAATAACATACGAAGTTAGGGTGGGTAGCTCGATCACGACCACGAATGATATACGCTCAATTCAGTAGCAGTCTTCTCAACTGTTTTAAGCACATTTGGTTCCATCAAATGTTTCAGGTAATTTTTACCGAAGTTCGACATCCAACGATCACCCTCGCCAACTTCGAGGCTATCGCCATACACAAGCTTTCCAAACTATCGCTTCATGACTTATTTTCCGCAAATGCGTGGCCAAACGAATAGTTTATATCGTAAGCTGATTCCGCTTCTTTCTGCCCTAATTCGAGGTAGAAGAAGAAAATCGTGAGGATTCGCTTGGTGAGCATGTGCATTCAAGGCTTTAAAAAGTGGACCAGTCCCTCTAGAGCAAAGCTTACCGCGGATTTGGATAGAGCAAGAAACGCGCTTTCTAATGATATGCAACTCGTAGCAGTCTGCCGAAAATTAGCCAGAAATAATGCCATGAAACTTGAACTATCGAAAACGGCCAGAACTTTCCTTGCAACCTGATAGTATTATTTGATGTATCGGCATGAGGCGATGGTCATCGTCTTATATCGGTCATCAAGTAATGCATACTATCTCTATACTATATATCACAACGCACGTTCATAATACGTTTGATTTTACAATAATAATTGTTTTGCTGTCCCTCTGCCCGTCCTCAAATTTTCCACAGTCATATCATATACAGTCATATAATCCTATTTATTTACTTATTTTTATTTTCTGGACACAGTGTAATTGCGTAAGAGTGGAGGTGAAGTTGTCCTATTTCGCTTTCGAGACAAAGTTCTCTATCGCCCGAACATAGGGTCAACAAACACGTACTCGACTTCGAATACTAATCGTAACCACATCGAAAATAGTTTTGGCGTCTACCACAGTAGGAAGAACTAAAGGTTTCTTTTCATTTTCACTACACGTTCTTTTGATCGGAATATAAGTATAAGTATAAGTTTATTACGTCTGCAAAAGGCACACGTGGAAAAGAAAATGAGCATATACAAAGAACAGTGTGCTTATAAAAAAAAACTCAAATACTAAAACAGGTAACTTCGGAATCAGTCTCACAAAACTATGACTCTTGGTTCCTCAGTATCCTACTTACTATAAAGCGCTTCGTCTGTCGTCTGTCTGTCTCTGTCGTCTGTCTGTCGTTCTGTATGTCTGTCACGAAATTCCCTAGCTCCTCGGGATCCGCCTGGAGGGACCGGGTCAAGTGTGGGATGGGTGGGCAAGGTCTCACGAAGTACAAAACACACATCAGCTAAGCGGAGCCCCGCCCACAGAGGGCGTGGCGTGCGTCGAAATGAACTGTACCGAAGACCAAGATTTCGATTTCAGTGACAAAACGACCTCGAAACTGGGCCAAAAAGTGGGTAAAGGTGTGCATTGGTAAGTCACATCGAATTAGGGAGACCCACCCCCGGTGGGCGGGGCGTTCTCTAAAAAAGCAGTGCTTTATGAAAAATTTCATAACTCGGTTGGGAGAAAGCCTACAGAGCAGAAAACAATTTGGTGTAAGGGAGCAATGTCTAAGGTGTTTCCTGCATACATGACGTGGGCGGAGGCCTGCCCAGAATGGGCGGGGCGCGCTCTGAAGTGTACAGCATTTTCTACAAGCCCTCATAATTCGGGTCGGGGAAGTCCTAAAGAGCCGGAAAAAGGTGGATAGAGGTGTATGGAGGAGTGGAGGCCAGCTATCAATGGTGGGCGGGGCTTGACCAAAGTGGGCGGAGTTTGCGACGAAAATTCATAACTCGGCTCCAAGAAGCTCCGGAGGCCGGGAAAAAAGGTGCATGGGGCGGTGGTTGGTAATAGAGCTAGAATACTATTGGTGGGCGGAGCAAGTCTAGGTGTCGAGTCCCACCCGAAAATTCGTAACGTTCAAGAAGTCCTGGAGAACGGGAAAAGTGGATAGAGGTCAGCAAAGAACAAATTAACTGCTACGGGTGGGTGGAGCGTGCGCCAATGTGGGCGGAGTTTGCGCCGAAATTGTAATTCGGCTCCAAGAAGTCCCGGAGGCAGGGAAAAAGGGACAGAGGTGGGTGGAGGAGTAGAGGCCAACTGTCATCGGTGGGCGGTACTTGACCAAAGTGGGCGGAGTTTTCGACGAAAATTCATAACTCGGCTCAAGAAGTCCTAGAGATAGGGAAAACGGGGTTAGAGGTTGGCGAAAGGAAAGGGGACAAAGCTATTAGTGGCGAGCACGCCACCCGAAGTAGGTCGCATTGCCACGAGATTTATTGTCCGGAAGCAGGCCGGAAACCGGGAAAAAGAGGATAATGGATGACGAAGAAAAAGAGGTTGAAAGCCGTCGATGATGGAGCGGATAGAATTTAGCTGAGAATTCAGATATTCGTGGTGTATCAAGCCAAATTTGAAAATTTTCGTCGCACCATCAAAATTCGCCGCAGATCTGTGTTGCGCGCGCAATGCGTGCGGCGCCAACTGGTTGTGACTATACGATGCTTGAACTGAGCTTGTGACAGAGTAACCGGTATGTTCTTTGCAATGTTTATATAATCACTACCAGCTCTATACGTGAAGCTTTTAGCACGTAGATTAGTTTTAGGTCGCGTTAAATAAATAAGTATATAAATATTGCCTACATCTTCTACGCATTGAATGTTGCTGAAATGGTTTTGTACCAGTGATGCTTTCCAGAAGTTATCATTCAATATTTACGATTGCTAGGTGCGGCGGCCGCACTCGCAAGATCGTCCCGTCCCACGTGGCCAAAAAAGCCAAAACGCCCGTTGTCGTCAATGTGTTAGGTATTCCATTGGCGAAGAGCGATAGCAGGAGAATCCCAAAAAAATCTGAAACTTCAATTGAGAACGTTTGCAGTTTGGCTTCGCTACCAAATCCAGTACATACGCAGTTCCTGTGTCTCTTGATCCCTCCTTACGTATCCCTAGAACACGCTTCGAAGACGAGCATCTCTTTTTCTTGTGTTCGCATTATAATCCTATCTGGGCTGCTTTTAATAGTAACCTTTGAATTGATGCTTCGCCGTTTGGCCTGTTCCTATGAGCTCTAATCGCTTACGAGGTTTTTGGAGGAGCCTTTTTTGCTAGTCTGCGACATGATCGTGAATGGTGTAGGAATCGCCCAAAAGTGCATATATTGTATTATTCTGTTTACTTATTTATTTATAGACGTAGAGTTACTGTGGGAATAACAAGGTGAACTACAGCAGATCACACGAGGAGTGAAACGGTTAGCATGAGTACAAGACATTGCCGGGCTAAATCCTATTCTGACAACGCCATGAAAAACACGCAAATCGATCAATAAGCCATGTCTGATATAATCGAAAGAAATCTTCGCATTAATTAATTCAATGGCTTTGCTGCGAAATTTATCCTGGCCGAGTATTTCATTTAGAAAGAGTACTGCTCTGACTACATGCTATTTCGCTATGAGCTGGAACCTCAGTATAGACGCCTTGTTAAAGCACTACCCCTTGTCCTGGCGTTATGGAGTAAGTGTGTGGGTTGACAATATTTTCCCGGTCACAATGTCAAATGCCGCAATAACACCTATTGGCTAAACATATTTTAAGAGGATAAAGCATAACATCGACGCCTTTCAGCTGCAATTCGTGACGGCTCATAACTGAGTCCGTCCATGAATTATAAATACTTTCCGAGTTGATAGTACCGACGCGACGCACCCGGGATCAAATCCTGGGTCGTGAGTCGCCCGGGCCAACCAAGCCTTCCATCCCTCCCGGGGTCGGTTAATTGGTACCAGACTTGTCTGGGAGGATAAAAAACACTGACTTGTACATCGGCTGGCCCCGCAAGTCATTGTATAGGCCACATCGCATTCAAACGCCACTACGAATGTACAAATGGAAGTAGAATGCGTGCCGCATCCCAAAAAGGGATTGATCAACGGCAAATGCTTTATCCTTTATCCTTTATTTCTAATCCAGTTAGATATACTTTTCTTATTCGGACTGAACACAACGGCACCGGGATTCAGCAATGAACCGCACGTAGGCTTTCTATGTTTTCAGCAGTCGCCATAGGTTCCCTTCTGAATGTATGAACAGAATGAAAGTTGCCATAGAGACCAGTGATTTACAGTGTGCACCGAAGTCTAAGTTATAACAGAAAGTAAACCGAAGACCCCAACTTCCTCGACTGAATTATTTCAATTCTACCTTGTGTGACTCTTTCGTCAAATATAAAGCAAGAATCTGAAGAAGTAGAGCTCTCCGAGCTCATTTCCCTAGGCATGCATACCACAACTATACCAATCTAAAATGGCCTAGTTGCTAGCTCGGTGGCCAAGGTTTTCGGCAAAAGTGAATTTTGTCGCTTTTGAAGTTTTTGTCGTTTTCCTCAGAGTGAAACTCGCATTGCGAATTGAAGAGAAACCCTATGCTGACAAAAAAGAGCCCTACAGCATGTCCTTAGCCGTTTACTTGGGTTAATTTTCACTTGCAATTGTAGCTGTTCTCGCTTTGAAACCACCGGGTCTTTCCAAGGCGGAGTGCACAATATTTATTCGAAAAGAACAGTTTCTCTGTCTTCACAATCGACTACGTAGTGGTCTTCTTGTTTGTCGCTCTGGCTGGACAAAGACAGTAGCCGGCATCATCGCCTGGATGTCCAGGCTCCCCGTAATTACCGATACCTCCAACGAATCCAGGCATACCTTCAAGATCAAAATTATTTTGAAAAACTACTGAGAAAATTAGATTTCTTCTTACCTGGCTTTCCTTCTGGTCCAGGCTCTCCCATTATGCCAATGTTTCCAGGTTGTCCAGGTGGCCCAGAGCTACCTGGGTAACCCCTTGGACCAACAAGACCCTTGAGTCCCGGTGGGCCGATAGGACCTTTTTCACCTCGAATACCTTCGGCTCCTGGAGGACCTTCTTCGCCATCCTTGCCTGGCCCACCAATCGGACCCATTGGTCCAGGTGGTCCAGGGACGCCATCGCTTCCTGGTCGACCACTATCTCCTGGTGGTCCTTCCTGTCCTGGCAACCCTTGTGGTCCAGGTTGTCCAGGATATCCTGTAAAAATCTTATTAAGTTTTGTAGACTAAAATTATTATAAATGAGGAGATCTTACCGAGGGGTCCCTTCGGTCCTGGTGGGCAAACACGACAACCGCTTGCGCTCACTTGTACTTGAGGCACGATTCCTGGAAGTCCAGGCTCTCCTGGCGTTCCTGGTTGGCCGGGAACGCCGTCCATCCCATCAAAGCCTGGACGACCTTTCTCACCTGGCGGGCAAGTGTTCTCTGTGCTGCAGTCTGCAAATGATTTGCATATCCAAGTGCGCACTAATGGGTAGCTATTGTCACTCACAGAGTACATCAAGGTGAGAAATAATTCCTATATCTCTCTACTAATTAATAATGTATAGTGCACGGGAGATGAGCACCTCACCTAGCTTGCCTTCGCCACACCTCCCATACCCAGAAGACAGATTAATTACCGAAGACCTGCCCAGAGAGGCATAAACCAGCCCATAACTCAGCATCGTTACGACAACAAAAAGAGTAACCGTTAGTCTTCGTGACTGCTTTTGAAGAAAGAACTGAACAAGAACGACCTGTTCTACAAGCATAAGCCAAGCCTTGCTTCCTGCTGCAGATTGCAACAAGATTAGTTCTCTGGATGGTGTAGGCAGTTTTTAACTGGCTTTCGCGATATCTACTAGGTTAAACCGGGACAGTCATGCCTTACATTGTCTAAGAAGTTTCGTACTTTGTCAGTTTAACTCCCCAGGCTAACTTATGATATTTCTGCTTGCCGAAGTCTTCGCCTGCATAAAAATTCCTATTCATCGACGATCGCTGCTCAGTTCATTCGGCTCCAGTCGTTGTGCTTCTACTTATCTAAGGCTATGAAAATCAGATCGCGCCAAATCCTCGACTCCCACTCCAGTTCAGGACCCATCAGGACTCTTCAGGAAGGGAACACTTGGTCGATGAGCAAAAGAAACGCCCTGCAGTGGTGCCATTATTATTGTCTTATCGCTTTAGCGCACATCACAGGAACCCCGTGTCCCAGCGTAATACTGTAAGGCGAGCCAAGAGAAAGATCCTGAAATACCCGATCAGCCCTATTAAGTACTTGAAAACCTACTGTTCAAACAAGTAAATGTTACAACAGTCTACGTTTAGGCTTTTGGTACTTCCTACCCACAATATTTAGTGCATCTGCACTGAAGCAGAGGTGGGGAGTAGTGCCAAGAAGATAGGTAGGTGCCGTTAGACCCTCTTACTTGCAGAGCGGTAGACGAGGCCGAAGTACTGAAGCACGCCCTGAGCGAACAGCCTTTTATGCAGCGATGCATCTATTTACCCAGGCTAGTCACTTTCAGGGGCGGTCCTATCGTTGCTACTTTTCGAAATTTTTTTACTACCCCCTCCCCCAAGGTGGATTTGATACGACCCCCTCCACCATCTACATCTTCCATCAAAACCCCGCCCACATTTCCCTCCAAAACCGTCGAGCGGGGGGGGGGGCGCTGAAACGGCAAATTTTCTCCCGCGCCACTCCCCACTCATCTCATGCAACTTCTTACAATCGAAGCAAGTACGACCCCCCCCCTCTACAAACTCATCAAAATACGACCCCCCCCCCCCCCCCCCCCGGTTGCCTAACTTGTTAGCAACATAGGATCTGATCCTGTCAACATTGTAGTCAAAAATTCGCATTCCTGTGGAACTTCACCTTTGGGATGGCAGTCGAAATTCGGTTTTCTTTACCAGGAGCCGTTGGCGATATAATACTCCAGCTCCGACTACTCTACAAAAACAGAAACAGACAGAAACAGCTTCTTTTTTCCATACCAACTCACGCGCACTGCATAAAAGCACACTGCTGTTCTGCTTGGTGATCGAATTCATTCCAAAAACGATTCCATCGTTACCACAGCTCTTCTTACCTTACTTTTGGAGCTTTAAGCCTACTAGCGGGACTATAAAGTGAGCTGGGTATGGAGCACTAGTGAGTTACCGGTTGTAGCTAAGGAAAATCTGGTTTTGCGATTCCCTAGATCCTCACTCCGTCCATCCCTCACAACTCCTATCCACTTTCGTCTACACAGCAGCTCTCCCAGACGATCGTCTTATCAAACAAACGAGCGCGTAAACGCATTCACCAAGCTCCTCTCTATCTCAGGCGGGATTTGCTGGGAGACTCACCAGGTTCCAATTCGGTCAATAAAACCTAATTATGCCGTATTATCTCTC